TGTGTTTAAGTAGGTTTTACCAATGGCTCTGAGGGACTCAGAGGGGAATTTCCATATTGAAAGGCATATAATCTCAGTTGAATATTGAGTGCACTTTTTCTTAAAAGTCCATGTTGTCCACATCATAGCTTTTATTGCCATATCTCCTGCTAATTCCTGTTCTCATAGCCTCACATACCACTGTATTAAGATGAAACCGTTTTCTAAAGAGAATCCTGGAGCTGGTTGTTAAGGTAATTTCTTTTTTTTTGACTCTGACACTGATTTTTAAGGGAGAGAAGCATATTTTGCTGGTTGATGGCGTTCTTTTTTCCTCCCTTTCTCCCTCCTAGCTTCCCTTTCTCCCCACTGCCTACACCACTTCCCTGTTCCTAAATGTAAGACAAAGGCTGAATTTACTGGTTAGGTATTTTCTAACATCAAGAACAATGTATGTGTTGAAATGCTACTTTTGTCCCTTTTCAGTTTCATTGAATTTTCAGAGAATCCTTTCTTTTTATCCTGATTACCTCTTAGAATAGTTCATCAGTCATGCTCACCTCCTAGCTCTCACAGATTGAGCAAGCAGCCCCTGGGGAGCTGTTATCGAGCATGTTGTCCCCTCTGCTTTTCCCAGCATGCCATCTCCCATCCTGACTCTGTGGTCTCTGGAGCAAGACAGCTGGTTAGGGTCAGGGTGCATCTCTAGATCGTCCCCCTCCCCTCAAGGGAGGAGCTCACTTCCTCAGGGAGACAAGCCAGAAGGTGGTAAGTGGTTATAGGAGAGGAAAGCCTGGGCAGAAGAGAGGGCATGACTGAAGCTGGACTGGCCCAGCAGAAGTGTGGTTAATGTGAAGTAGATGTGTGTGAGTGTGCATATATACATGCACACATAAATATGTATGTCATTATTTTTCTAATTATATAATTACTGCATATAAAATAATTTTGGTTAGGGGATTTGGAAAATATGGAAAAAACCCAAAGCAGATAAATAAAAATATCCACAATTTCACCATCCAATCTCCGCAAAACATTGCTATGTTTCCTTCCACTTGTCTTTGTATGACAACATACATGCTGCACATATAACATATTTCAGATCAGAAATGACCTTATGCCAGCTCATTATAGATAACTCTATTTAGGCTAAATTAGAATCAATGTGTGTGTTTTTTTTTTTTTGCCTGACACAGGAAACTCACTCACTGGCCTTCTCTGATCTTTACAGCGTTCTGAGCGTCCATGCTCCTTTCCAGTGAGCTCATCATTTAACCTGCTCAGCCCAGTCACATGCATCTCAGCATTCTTGTTTCTGCCCATCCTCTTGTAGAATGCTTTCTTGATGTTTTGATTAAATCTAAATAGCTTCAATTCTCTGTATCTCTGCTGGCCCCACCTAGCCTCTTGTCCCATCACAGACAGGAGAACCCATTTGCTAAAGTTTTTATACATGGCTGAGCTGTAGGAGACTCCTGTTCCTTCACAGATGTCTGTGAAATGGATCATTTTTGCATTCAAAAGCAAAACAGTAGGTATAAACTTTGGGCTTGCAAGTATAAACCTAGGTTCAGGTCCATTTCTCTAGACAAAGTTTTAGCCTCTGTAAAGTAAGATATTAAAAGTGAGCATTTGATTCTGGATTAATTTAAGGGTTCAGTGAGATATGCTCAGGAAATATGCTCAGTCCCATACACATGATATGAGGAGTCCTCAATTTGTGGATATCATGGTTCACCAACTTCAAGACTGTAGAACAAAATGATATGTAGAATTCAAGTGACATTTTCCCAAGGTGAGCCCTACACAGTGGAACTTTTCTGCAAAGAGTAACTGACATGGAAGGTGAATTGGAATGGAAGTAATGGACCAATACAATGGTAGCCATAGCTACTTGAGGACTTCTTGCATTCCAAGCCCTTCACAGGTTTCATGTAATTTTCTCTGCAATGCGAAGAAGTGGATACCACTACTTTGTCCATTACAATATTTGAAATTCCAAAAGAAGTCAGCTTAAATGATGAGGAAATTAATTCTCTCTCAGGACAAGAGGTCCAGAATTAGAGCAATCTGCAGAGTTGGTTGACTCAGTGATTTAAATTGTCAAGTGCAAGCTTACTTTTTCTTTCTCTCTTCTGCCATCCCTACATTGGCTTCACTCCTAAGCTAGAAGCAAGATGGTGGCAGTAGTTTCAGATATCACAGCCAAACACAGCAAAGTTCAGAGTAAGGTTATCTCTTCACATGGCTCTCTCTTAAAAGTGAGAGCAATTTCCCCAAATATCTGCTATAGATTTTCTATTACACTTTAGTGTTCAGAATTTTGCCTGTTTCTAAATCAGTCTTTAGAAAGCCAAATATAATTATTCTTAGGTCAATTAGGTCTACTTCTAGAGTTAAGGGTGGGATTAGCTGCCCTGAAGGTCATGCCTCTAAGGGAAGAGGTGGATACCTGGCAAAACTGGGGTCTTATTAAGGAGGGAAAATGGATGCAGGGTTGGTACTCAGTAGCATCCAGTTAAAGATCATCCTATTTTTCAGATGAGGAAACTGGCAATCATAAAGCTTAAGTAATGTGTCTGATGTCCTATAGCTAACAAGGCACAGAGATAAAAATTATAATGCATGGCTCATCTGACTTCTGTGATTACACATCCTTAAAATGGGTAAATTTATAGCTTCCCTGTGTCTTTTGCAAATACTCAGATTAGGAGGGTGCATCTGAAGTAAGATTCTTTTAGGCGATTGTAAAACCTGGTGGAGCAACCGACATCTCACACTTAACAATGTGGATGCTGAGAATGCCGTGTGAAGCCAGTGTGATTTGGTACATGGCCAGGGGTAGGGTGGTGCCTCTTGAGAAGCAGTGGAGGTGAAGAGGCTAATCCTTCAGCAGTGACAAGTCATATACAAAAGACACGTGTAGTCTTGTGCCAGAGTCGATGCTGTCAAAAGGACAGTGATACAGAAAGTGTCCCCATCATACATCATTGGTGCTTCCAATGCCATCTCCCAGACTCTGTATTCTTCACAAACGTGTACTTAGCTCTTCATCATGAGATCAAATAGAGATAAAATCCTTCTCACATATATGACGAGGAAAGAAATCTTAAGGAGTCAGAATCTCACTTGCGGCCACAAAGTTAAAACGTGTGTTCTTCCACGACCAGTGCTCCAGCCACATTCCCCTCTCTCTGACAGCTCCATGAGCTGTCCTTCCCTTTGAGTGCCCATGGACTCCATCCTTGACCTTCCCCTCAGTTTACACGCTCTCCTTGACTACCTTGGAAGACAACCTGAATGCCAGTGATGTTTAGGTCTGTGTTTCAGACTCCTGTCTTTTGCCTAAATGCTAGGACTTTATTGCATCTCCCAATGGATGCCTTTCTAATCACCTCAGAGGCTCCTCAAACTCAACATGTCCATACATTCGTATCTTCCCGAGCTCACCAGAACCAAAACAAGAACATTTTTTTCCATCCCACAGTCTTTTGAATTGGACACAACCATCTAGCCCATAGTGCGACATGGTGTCCTTGGGATTATTTTGACTTTTGACTCCTGATATTTCAGTATATCCCGTCCCACTATTTCTACTTCCCCTCTCCATCCCTGTCCAGCTCTCCATCCTTACGGACTCTGTTCTAGAGCAGGCTTTCATTCTTTCCTGCTTTGGCTGTTTCAGTAGTCTTTGCCTCTTCTCCCTCTGTCTCTCTTCTGCGTGAAACCCATCCTCCCTCTGCCTCTGGAGGTATCCCCCAAAACACAGGCAAAGTCACACCACTTCATGAGCAAACTCTTGATGAGTCTTGAAGGGTAAAGTCCATCCTCTTCAGAATATCACATAAGGCTCTTCACAGTCTTGAACTAATTTGTCCCCAGAAGACTTCCTACCCCATAGAGAACTAAAGTATATCTTTCAAGACTCAGCACACATATTCCTCCTGGGTTCCCAAGAGAGACTAATTTATTCTTCAGTGCTGTGACACAGTGCTTGTAGCTTTACATTGTAATACAGCTTTTCTTTTTAGGCTGTGCCCCTCTAAACTGTGAGGATCATGGTTTTCTTTGTATTTTTAGCTCCCATTCAGCTGGGAGGGCCTGCAAGATAAATTTTGTTGAAAATGAAATAACCACTTTGAGCTGTATATCTACATAAGGTGAATGTTTGTGGTTAAATACTAAACTAACCAATGTTTGTGTCTCAAGACACAAGCTTGTGTTTTGAAACAACAAAACAATTCTTGTGTGTGTGTTTTTTTTAAACCTTTACGTCATTCACATAGGCAACATATACTCCTTGTAATAACTCTTCTTTTGGAGTGACATGCATGTGCCAACTTTTCTTTAAAGGTGTGCTAAGTTGCTTCAGTCGTGGCTGACTCTTTACGACCCTATGGACTGTAGCCTTCCAGGCTCCTCTGTCCGTGGGACTCTCTAGGCAGGAATACTGGAGTGGGTTGCTATGCCCTCTTCCAGGGGATCTTTCCGACCCAGGGATGGAACCCATGTCTCTTACATCTCCTGCACTGGCAGGAGGGTTCTTACCACTAGTGCCGCCTGGGAAGCCCTTGGGTAGTGACTCTCACTCCTAAACAAGGGGGTAGGTGGTGGTATTCCTTGAAAATCACTGCTGTGCCCCATTACAGATATGTTTGACATGATGAACGCTGTAAGTTTCAAATGAGTACTTTGTGCCAGGCCTTGTTCCTTTTTGATATTTGTGTATTAAGTCATTTATTTAAATTATTTAAACAGTGATCTTGGTCCTACCGTTTCCCCAGTTTACAGACAGGACTGCTAACACACAGAGAGGTTGAGTAACTTGCCCCAGTCATTGCTGTGCGTGCGGGCTCAGTCACATCCCGCTCTTTGCAACCCCATGAATTGCAGCCCTCCAGGCTCCTCTGTCCATGGAATTTTCCAGGTGAGAATCCTGGAGCAAGTTGCCGTTTCCTCCTCCGGGGGTCTTCCTGATGCAGGGGTCGAACCTGAGTCTCCTTTGTCTCCTCTGTTGGCAGATGGATTCTTTACCACTGAGCCACCTGGGAAGTCCCACCTTGCCCAAGATCATACCGCTTAATCAGTGATCAAGCAGGAAGAGAACGCAGACTGTCTTGTTCCAGAGCCAAGTGATCTGGACCGCTAATGATCTGGAACCACTAGCAATGACCCATTTCCATCTTATAGTCACAGTTAATCATTTGTTATACCAAAGATATAACACTTTGATTAATATCATGAATAGTCAGGAGCAAATATGAATGTTTGATTTTTTCTGCTTCTGGCTTCTCTTAACTGGGACTCTTTTCTCATCAACACATTCTTCTACTGGTGCTTGGAATCAAGATGTTCCTCTCACATTCACCCAAATTAACAAATGATTATTCCACACAAAGATGAGCAATAAGAAATCTGAGTCATTAATTTGCCAAAATGTTCCCCCATTTTACACTTCAGATCTTTTCCTCTTTTACACTTGTGATAACACACTTATCTTTGTGCTACAAACCCTGATGAATAACAGATAATGTTAGTACACACTGGAGATTTGTGGACTTGAACCTTGAAGAAGCAAATAAAGTGAATAATCCCCTTGCTCTCCTGTCCCTCAAATCAGCAGCCATTGAAGGAAGAGGGCTCTAATTTCTCTGCTAGAATTTGAACCTGTGGTTCCAGGGAGTCTGAGCATTTCAAAGCCTCAGGCTGAAAATTACCAAACTTTCTGCTCTGTGTGTGTGTGCGCGCGCGCGCGTGCGTGCACATATATGTGGGTGGGTGGAGGGGCAGGTAGTGTTCATAAAAGAATAAAATCCACTTTCAATGTCCAGGTTAGCCATCCATTTGCTTATACTTTGGAGGGAAGAATGAGGATCCTGTCACTCCAAACATAGCATAAACCGCCCCAGAGGAGGTCTTCATTACCCTTCCACTTTGTCTCTCTCTGCTCCCTTTCTTGCCTCTCTATTCTCCCTCCCTCCCTCCTTCCCCAGTTTACATGGAATTGACCTGCTGTTCTTTCCTAGTCAGTGCTGTTGAAGAATCAGTTTGCTGTTCTTTTGCATTTGTCTTGGAGCATTATGTGCTTTTGTGTGGTTTCTCCTCACCTAGAAGGCCCTGCTTCGCTTTAGCCTCCACTTGTTTTTCTCTCCACAGGACCCGTTTAGAATGCAGGGTTTCATCTGACATGCATACAAAGCGCTGGCAAGGACAGGCTTTCTCGGCGGTCTAGGAAGTCCTGTTTTCCCACTTGTGATAGCACACTTGTGATAACAGCCCTCCAGGGTTCTTCTGTACGGGGGTGCCCATGCCCTTTCTTGTTCTGTGGGTTTGCATTTTTGCCTGCTATCAAGTGTCCCTGCCTAAAATCTGTGGTGCTATGTGATGGCTGCTTCGGAGAAGCAGGAGAAGGCACAGATGGAAAAAAATCATGAATGTGTATGGCTGGATCAACCCCGGGCCTGATTTTGTCAGATTACATGAAACAAACCTCAAGGAGCACTTAGAAGAGACTTTGGGATATTAGGCGCTAACCAGTGATCTCTCCCTTTTTAAAAGTCTATCTGACATTTTTCTTCCCAAACATTTTAAGACCTGCTCAGGTTTCCCTGGTGAAAGGGGTGCTTTGGAGTGCCACAGGGAGAAAGATAGATTACAAAATGTGTTGCCTCAAACTCATTAGAATCCACTTGTAATATTGTAATATTGTTTGCTGGATTTTAAGCTGGCAAAGCTCTCATTTTATTAGACATCTTGATTGATTTTGGTATACCTAAGGTCATTTTGTCTGTGCAAGGCAGAGATGGACGGGGCAAACAGAAGCCACACATGCACAAAACCCTGATGGTTGACTGTTCTCTGGAACATGCCAGGGAAGGGGCACAGAGGTTTTGAATTCCCAACTGGGTGGATATGTGTTCCTCACGTGCTGAGTTGCATCAACCTTCTCTACCTGGTCTGCGCCCTTTGTGAGATTCTGAGTGTTGGAGGACCTTTTCACTGCTGCCGTCGGGAGAGAAACATCCTCCCTAATGGGCTAACTCCCTAACACTGGAAAAATGGAACTTGGCTGGCCCACTGAAGCAGGGAATGATTCATTTCCTATCATTAACAGAGTGAGAAAGATGTAGTTCACAGAGTTCTTTAAGCTGGAAAAGCACGTTATCCTAAATACTCAATTTCCTTGTGGATGGCATCAGCTTTCCTAATTTCCTTTCTGCAGCAGCCCTGCTCTCGGATATTTCTAGATTCTGGGGGCTGTTGGAACACCCGCTAAGTGGTGCAGATGTTCAACGTGCTGGGAGGAGAGGGGGGATGACACGAACTCAACCCTGGGTTAAAACAGTGATGTCTGCTTTCTTCTGAGTGATACACTGGTGTTTAATCCTCAAGTTGCTGTAGAACCTTTCTAAATATTTAGGTATAGGATCTCAGGTTAAAACTTTCATGTTCAGGCTCATGTGGGCATAAATCAGTCAAAACAAAACAAGCAAACCAAAAAGCAACCTCCCACTTCAATTCTCGGTGGGTATTATTTGTAGGTAATCCCATCTTGGGAGACAAGTCTTTCATCTAGAAAAACAAGTTTGCATCACATAGTCTATTTAGTTCACTTACTGATATTATGTTGGAGAAGGGAATGGCAACCCACTCCAGTATTCTTGCCTGGAGAATCCTGTGGACAGAGGATCCTGGTGGGCTACAGTCCATGGGGTCACAAGAACTTGCACATGACTAAGCAACCAACACACACACCCTAATTGTAGGTTTGGATTTATAGTATACTCCTTTTCAAGGAGCTCAAATAATTTAATCCTCTCTCCTATTTATTTGCAGAATGCCCTCAGAAGAAACAAGGTAGTAACTAAATTTCCCTTCTAACATATGGCAAACAGCTTAGAATTACAGAAACATCAAGTGATTTGCCTAGGGTTACACAGCAAGGGGATGTGATCTGGTACAAAAACATAAAAATATATATGCTTACTCACTGTTAATGCTGCCTGCCCGTGACATTGATAATGCATTTCAAGTTACTGATAATTTCTGTGTATGGGGTACCTGAAAAATATACCTTGGGCCACAGGCTGGTCTCATTTCACCACCACTAGAGCTTTATGAGGTTGGCATTGTTATCCCTACTTCACAAGTTAGAAAACAAAAATTCAGGGTTACAGAGCTGGCAGAGATAGTGACAGTGGTTGGACTCTGATCTGAGTCCACTGTATCAGCTGCCTGTGGAACATACGAAAACAAAGATATCTGAATGTGAAGTATTAATAGATACAGTGGGTTCATTGACATCTGGGGAGTTAGAATTCTGAGAGAAATTGAAGAGTAGACTTTTCAGATCAAGTTTGGTTTGCTAGTTCCTGGTTACAATAAAATTGTTAGTATCCTTTTCCTCCCTTCTGACCAGAGTTAATCTTCTGAAAGAGATTCTGAGGGTTGTTACAAGCAGGTTTTCCCATGAGTAGGGGAAGAAACGGAGTGTGAAAGGAAAGGAGGGTGATTGAAGAGGACCTTCCCTTGGTGGCCCTGTTTGTCTCTGCAGAGGTCTGTTTTGGGGCAAGGACTCTGTGTAAAGAGAGGGAAGGGGCACTAAAGGCAGCCGTTCACAAGATGCGATGAGCCTGGGAGGGCCTCGGCGCCATCCTCCCCTCAGTCATAAAGGTCCTCCCCTCACCCAAAGACAGGTATTTCAGAGGGAGACATGAAAGCCCCAGAGAGAGGAGAAAAGGGCTTCAGAGAAGCCAAGCAGAGGAAAGAAGACAGGTCCTCGGGGCTCAGGCCCTCTTTGCTGGCCTGGGAAAGCTCGGATGCTTGGGCGTCAAGTGCAGTCTTGGTATCATCATCGCTAGGGGACTTCTTAGAACTCAGATGCTCAGGCGCCCCCCTCGACCTACTGATTCAGAATTGCTGGAGTGGGGCTCAGCAAGCCAGGATTTAGCAAGCTGTCCAGGTTTTGAACACACAGCATCTTTGAGGAGCACTGTGCTAAGGAGGATTGGGACTGAGACACATAGAGCCATCCAGGCGCCTCTGGTAGCAGAGAGAGAAGTATCACAGGCGCCATGTCACATTTACTACTATGGTTATCTGACTAACAGCCATGCAGCCCCCTCTGAGCTGTAACTGCAGACTGTGTGCCAGTAATGGCTAGAAGCTTGTGTACCCTCTGGGCCCCCAGGAAGACTACATTTCCCAGCTTTCCTTGAATTTAGACTGTACAGCCTGTGTGGGACTATGAGACCTAGATTTTATTGTCATAAGTAGATGAGATTTGGGGCATTGTTTCTCACAGTGGCTTCTATTTACTACTCTGATTAATACAGACTATAAGTAAAAACAGGGTGAGAACCAGTCCAGTTTTTTTGTTCATGATTATATTGAGGGGTGGTATTCAAAATGTTAATAGATGCTATAACCCTGGGACCAACCAATATGAGGACACTGACTGTAGTACTGAGTGGGGTCCTGGATACCTTCTGCACTTCTGGGTGTTCGCCCTTTAGCTGAGGGATCTGGGGGGACTCTAGGGATTCCAAATGGAGAGGCGTTGGCTGGGGCAGTACGGAAGAACTTTAGTATTCTAACAGCACACACATTTGTAGTGGTATAAGCCAATTATATCACTAATGCTTGAACAATGGTGGCACAGTAGTTGTCCCATAAATTTTTTTGAGTTTTAACCAGGTTATTTGAATATAATGTACTTAGGGTCCTGACTAAGCTTTGAGGTTACAAATTGTAGACATCTGGTTTGAGTTCTTCTTAGTTTAAATAGCCCACAGAACCTAGAGACAGCCATGTGGACTCCATTTGATCTACTTCTTTGCCCTAAAAGATTACCTAACACTGTACACAAAAATAAACTCAAAATGGATTAAAGATCTAAATGTAAGACCGGACGCTATAAAACCCTTAGAAGAAAACATAGGAAAACACTCTTTGACATAAACCACAGCAAGATCTTTTTTGACCCACCTCCTAGAGTAATGAAAATAAAAACAAAAATAAACAGACAGGGCCTAATCAAACTTAAAAGCTTTTGCACAGCAAAGGAAACCATAAACAAGATGAAAAGACA